CCCCCTCACTTCAGCCTCATCCCTGCTGCATCCCTGCTGCATCCCCCTCACTTCAGCCTCATCCCTGCTGCATCCCCCTCACGTCAGCCTCATCCCTGCTGCATCCCCCTCAGTCAGCCTCATCCCTGCTACATCCCCGCTGTGCTGGGTGCTGCGCTGCTGCCACCGTGTGAGCAGTCCCCGAGTTTCTGCGCCCCGTGTCTGTTTGTTTAAGGTGTGACTCGCCGCGCTGGTGCACTTTGAACCGGGCACGTTGTTGTGCAGACGCTCACGAGCGCCTTTTCCCCCGTGAGGACTTTAGACCGAGAAAGGTCTAAAATATCCCAGCGCCCTGCCAGGGCACGGGGTGTTGTGTTGGTGGGATGGCTGGGGTACCCCACAGAGGGGGCACCCTGGGACTCCAGCACCCCTTTGCTGGTGTGTAAACCGGCCGTGCTGGTCCTGACACCATCTCTGCTGATGTTACCACCTGAGCCGTGTTTACCTGCCGTGCCACAGCCGTGCACTGGTGGGTAACGTGTGGGTCAGGAGTGGGGTTGAGAGGTCAAACAGGGGTGAGTCTGGGAGGTTTCCTGCCTTGGCACTGACTCACCCCATGGCTTTAGCAGGTGATCTCGGCTCCCCGGGCTAGATTTTCGGTGATAAAGAGCTGAACTGGTATACACCAGACAGCTGAATAAATCATCAGGAGGTTGGTGGGGTTTAAGATGGGGTCGGTCACAGAGTGTGGGTGATGGTGATATCTCCCCAAATGCTGGTGTCAAGGGCCACCACTGAGGCTGTGGGTTTATTGCTCGGGATTGCTGAAATTCAGGAATGTGCCTGTCACTAATTCGCCCATTTTCAGTGTTTTCCCTGAAGGTGTCTTCTACTGCTGCTTCTTGTGTATGAAGCCAATGCTGGAAGTGCCTTTGAGTCCTTGCCTGCACAGCCCAGGGGATCAAAGGGGATAACTTTGATGCAGTTATCCTTTGGGATATCCTGCTCTGCCATTGTCCCCACAGCAGCCCCTGTCCTTGGCTTCCCACTGCCCCGACCTGACACCCCCACAAACACCTGCAGCAGCACAGACCAAGTGGCTCTGCTCCATCCAGCCGGGACACCAGAGCTGCGATCAGCCCCATATCCAGGTAGGAAGGTTTCCTTGGAGTTTTATCATCACTGGTGAGTGATTTCCCAGCACTTCCCCATTCTTGGGCACAAGCCCTCGCTCACCATCTGCTCCTAATTCTGAAAAGCTACATTAAATGTCTGCTCAGCTTTTTTAAATACCCACCTGCACGACACCACCGGAGCTCTTCTCTCCCAGCCCTGTTACCCTCAAACCCTGGATCTCCTATTCCCGAGTCCCTGACCAAGGCAGAGCTTTCCCCGAGGGGATGCAGCAGCCCCCGGGTCGGCTCCGGGAGGAAGCAGCAGGTTACCGATTATTCTCTCTGTTAAACACGGCAGCTTTATTTACGCTGTTTTCCAGGTTGCAGACGTGCGTGTGCTTGAAATGCAGACGGTGACCTGGCGCGGTGGTTGAACTGGTTGTACTGGAACCGCCGAGCTCTGCGCCACGTCCCGGGGCCGCCGGCTCCGCTCCTGGCCGGGAGATGCCGGCAGGTCACACCCTCCCACCGGGAGCCTGCGGAAATGCCTCCCGAGTGGCTGGTTTTCCTCCTTTTTCCCACTTGCATGGCAGGTTCCCAGCCTGCAGCCCCGGCAGGGACTCTCTAAACTGGGGTGTAGAAACTCAGGCATGATGAAGAGAGATACCAGTATGGACCAGTGTGTATGGGCCGGGCTGGGAACTGGGATGTGAGGGAGCCCATCATGGAGCAGGCTGGGATGGACTCTTATCCTGGGGGCAAAGCTGGGGCTCTGCCGTGTTCCATTATATATAACATATTTATATATATATATTGTATTTCTGGTGCTAATTAGCTGCTAAGTCTCTCTCTAATCATAGAATCCCAGAATGGTTTTGGTTGGAAGGGACCTTAAATCTCATCCAGTTCCACTCCCTGCCATGTGCAGGGACATCCTCCACTATCCCAGGTTGCTCCAAGCCCCATCCAACCCGGCCTTGAACACTTCCAGGGATGGGGCAGCCACAACTTCTCTGGGCAACCTGTGCCAGGGCCAAACCACCCTCTTCCTATTCCTTCTAATGTAATCTAGATCTAAATAGATATTCTAATCCTAATGTAGATAGACATCCTTCCTCAACACCCTCTTCCAATTTCTTCCTATCTAATCTAGATCTACCCCTTGTCCTATCACCCCATGACCTTGTTATATATCATAAAATATATACGTGCAGTCTGGTGGCTCTGCTGACCTGACTCCCAGGGATGGGCTTTCCCTCTTTCTGGACAAGCCATCCAACTGCAGGTATCCAGGAGCAGCGTGTCACCCAGCGCAGTGCTTCTGGCTCGATGTTGGAAAGGTTTGGAGGAATCCTGGGATATGACCGGGCTTTCAGTGGTGACTTTATAATACATGCTGAGCACTTTTGAGCAGGAAAAAGCAAGGAAAACTGCCAGTGAGCCATTTCTGCCTCCAAGGCAAGGTAATGTGAGCCCCTGGCACCTCTGCACGTACCAGGGCATCAGATGCCCTTCTGAAAGGCCCTTTTGTTACCTGCTGGTGGGTCCAGTGGGGCTTCAGTTCCCCCTTTGGCATTCCTGTGCTCTGTATCCTGCATATCTGGCTGGATAAACACCCTGGAGAGGTCGCAGCCTGCCCTGGACTGGGCAGGGAGTGTTTGCAAGGGGAGGAGTTGAGCTGCCATAGATAAATCCCCACACTGGGATGGCTGCTGGAGCTGGAAAGGCGAGACCAAGAGATGGATGTGAATGTGTTATGCCCCAGAGGAGTGTGTGGAAGGGAAGGGCAGGTGCCTTAGCAGCCATCCAAGGGGTCCGAGCAAGCCCCTCCCGCCTTGATCCTGCTCCACTGCCACTGAAAAGCCCATTTCTGGCCAAAATTCAGCTTTGTGGAGTGGGAACCTGAGGAGCCAAGTTATGAATGTCCCCTCTGTGCTCACAGTCTCCAGGGCCTCTCTGCAGGGGGGTGACCTGGCTCGGAGCTCTCCCTGCGCCGGATCGGGGGCAGTCAGTGCGTGAAGTCCGTGTTCCCCCTGCTTTCTTATACAGAAAATAATTCCCTGTTATATCTCCTGACTGACAGAGCTGCTTGGGATGACAGGTCTGTGTTTGACCCAGGAAGGTGGGGCAGGAGAGGAGGAAGTTTGCCTGAAGTGGGGTGAATTTGCCTGAGCCGACGGGCCAAGCCAGAAAATGCAAAACAATCCGTACGAGGGAAAAAAAAATAAATATGCAGCTGTGCTTAATAACTGTTTCTTTTTACAGAACAGCTCTCGGGATGGCTCTTTGATTAGAGGAGGAAGGTATCGCTGCCGTGCGCCGGGGCAGGTGAGTCAGTGGAGAATACTGTCAGCTTCAAGAGGGACTGTGCTGGGAGGGAGGGATGCAGGGAAGCAGGGGGGGTTTCCCAAGAATCCTGAACACCAGTGGCCCCGAGGCAGGGCTGTGGTGCCGCTGAATCACGCCAGGAGATGTGACAAGTTTCGTTGGGTTCGTGATGGCTTTTGCCTTTGCAAGGACTTGCAGGGCTTAAGGGACAGGAAAAACTGCAGTGTCATCTCTGACAGAATTTGAGTCTTTGTTGGTGTTTATTATTATGGCTGGGTGTGAGAAGGGCCTGGAAAAATGCATCACAGTTGTTGTTGGGATGGCATTCGGGGAGAGGTGACACTGGACACGGCATTAGTTGCAACAGGTTTTGCCAAAGCTCAGGTCTGGTCCCTGCAGTTCAGTCTGGAAACCACGGGACTGTCTGGCTATGAGGACAAGGCACATGGCCAGTAGCCATGGTGAGGGCCATGCCCGGAATGGCTCTTCCTGGCAAGCAGGTGGTTAACTGTGACTGTTTATAGAGGGCAGCAGACTGATAAAAAGCACTTTCCAGGCTCCCTGGGAGCACAGGCTTTGTGGGGATGTCAGCTTTGCCTTGGTGAATGGAGTGATGAGCCTGAGCAGTTGGGTTCCTCAAAACAGGACCTCTGCACACAGAGTTGGGAACTGATAGAGGAAAGGCTCCACACAAGCTGGTTTCATAATGCAGATGCCTCACAAGCTGGGTTTTAAACTACAGATTGAAAACTAAAACTTTAGTTAGATGTTGGGAAGAAATCCTTCCCTGTGAGGGTGGGGAGGTCCTGGCACAGGTTGCCCAGAGAAGCTGTAGCTGCCCCATCTCTGGAAGTGTCCAAGGTTGGGTTGGACGGGGTTTGGGGCAGCCTGGGATAGTGGAAGGTGTCCCTGTCCAAGGCAGGGGGTGAAACTGGACGGGCTTTAAGATTCCTTTCCAACCAAATTATTTTGAGGTTCTATTAAACTGGAGATGGGGGCTGTGATGTTTAGAGCAGGGGCTGCACAGTGCTCCGAGGAGGTGACCCCATCGGCATCCCCGGCTGGGACCCGCACCCGGTTTGGGGGGGGTGTCTCCCCGATGGTTTGGAGGGGTCTCCCCCATGGTTTGCGGGTCTCTGCGGTGGTTTGAGGGGGTATCCTCGCTGCTGCCCCCTGCGCTGTCCCGGTTTCCCGGAACAGAGCCCGGGGAGCGGCGGGGCCGGTCCCGGGAAGCGCCGCCCCGGGAGGGCCGGGCCGGGAGGGCGGAGCGGCCCCGCACGGACCCTCCGCAGCCGCCGCCGGGAAGGTACGTGGGGCTGGGGGGAGCCGGGAACCGACGGGACCCCCTGGGCCGAGCAGGGACGGGACCGCCGGGCTGGGACCCACCGGAGCGCTGGGAGCCGGGAACGGGGCGGGCTGGGCTCGGTCCCGCCGGGAACGGGGACCGGGAGGGCGTCGGAGTCACGGGCTGGGCTGGGATAACCTCCAAAGTGCGGGGAACACCGGGAAACAGGGGGAAACACGCCACAAAGCAGGAGCAAACCCCCCCGAAGCGGGGGAAGTCACCCCCGAAGCGGGGGCTGGGCACTGGAGGGTCGGAGCGCCGGGGTTTGGGGGGCAGCGGTGCCCCTTGGGGACACCCCAGGGTTTGGGGTCACCCCTTGGGGACACGTGGGCTCGGGGCGCCTTCCTCGGCCCTTGTGAGCATCGGGGTGGCCGCGCTGAGCGTGGGGGGAGGAGTGGCTGCCGTTTTGGGAAGGATTCAGCTGGCACTTCAGGGAAGGAGCGTTTCGGGCCGTTTTGGGAAGGATCGGCAGCAGGGACGGTGCCAGGTGACCCCCACGCCAAACCCGCCGGTGTCTCGCAGCCGGGTCCCGTGGGTGGCAGCTCAGCAGGAGTGTCACGGATCACGAGCCCACGGCTCGGGTACGTCCGTCCCCGGGAAGGTGCGGGGACCGTGTGTGAGCCAGGAAAGCAAACAAAGCCAAGGAGAAGGAGACCTGCGCAGGGCAGGTCTGGGCCGGGCGCCGGTCAATGGGGGCTCAGCTCTTCCTGTCATGACATTCCTGCTGAAGAAAGAGCGGCCTGGAGGCTTTGAGGGTTCAGCAGAGCCACAGGTGTCTCACAAGTGGTTGTGTACTGACGCTGGTATTTGATTTTTGGAGGTGACGGGGTGGGGGCGAGCGTTGCTGTGTAGCTGGGTTTGTTGGGAAATGTGGATGTGGGAGCAGAAACCAGCAGTTCCAGGAGTTTGTCCCATGGGAGACGGGCTGCCCTCGCCTCTGCATAGCGGATGAAGCCTGAGAGAGGTGAAGCTGCACCAAGAGGTGTGGTCCTGGCTTTCCAGCTTAAAGCTCTCTGGAGCAGACCTTGGCCACTGCCTGATGGGATGTGGCCACAACACATCCCTCTACAGCATATCCAAGCATCCTGCAGCCGTCCACAGCCCTGGGTATCTTGGCATGACAGCCAGAAAGGGAAACCTCCCAGGTGTCAGTGAGGAACATGTGGGTGTGGGGCTGGTGAACCCAGCCCTGGACTGAGGTGACTCGGAAGTATGTGACATGCCTTTGATTTTAGCTGTGTAATTACACGGGTGGGAAAACCCTTAGGAAGGCAAGTGCCCGGGGAAGGAGGAATGTTTGGCCACGGGTGCCCTGAAGAGAGCTGAGTGTCGGTGTTCGGCGCCGTGGCGGTGCCACGAGGAGATGCCAGGGGGCCAGGGCTGGGCAGGGCTGTCTGCCTGCACTCCAGCAGGAGTCTGGGAGGAGGGATCCCTCCAGCAGCCTGGGTATGTGTCTGTCTCCCAGTGCTGCTCCACACTTTTCTTGTTCCCTGTGTATTTAAGAGGCAGAAACTGGTGTCGAGGCTCTGCGGAAGCAACTGAATATCCTTGTATGAGCAGTGCAGGTGGCATGTAGTGACACAGTTCCCAGAAAACCTCCATCCCTATCAAAATACCTGTGCCCACGCTGCGGAACGCTCCTGCTTTGTGCCTGGCTGCTCTGTGTCCCTTGGCTACCCAGCCAGCTCCGTGTGCCCTGGCATCACCTCTCGCTCCCTTCCTGCCTTGTGGGCTCCTTAGCCATCCACAATAGGTTTTATTTGTGGGTCACACTTGTTGGAGAACCTTTTGAAAAAGCATGGGGAGAGGTGATGCTGCATTGGGGTAAAAGGTGTTGCTGAAAATCCTGTGTGAGGATGAGGAGGGTGGTGCTGGCGAGGCCGATGGCAGTGTGATGTGTCGGGTTAGTGGCTTTCAGCAAGGGGAGATAAGGCTCCAAGGGCTGCTGTGGTGTCACAGGAGCTGCTTAGAGCACTCCAGGAGGGCTGTGAGGAAGCAGGAATGCTGGGTTTGGCTTCGGAGGGCATCAAAAGGGCAGATGGATAATGTCTCTGAGTGCTGGAAGGCTCTGGAGGAGAGTGTGTTATCTGGGTGTTCTCTGGCATGGAGACGGGGAGAGGTCCTAGAACAAAAACCAGGGGGAGGCTGTGGAGGAGTGGCTTTATCTCAGAGGAAACAGCAGATTAGGAGAATTTAAAAAAGAAATAAATCCAAGCTCAGAGGTGCACAGTGGCGCCCAAAGGAAAGCAGAAGGGAGAAGGAGTCAAAGTGCTGGGATTTCCCCAGGCAGGCGTGCTTTCCCAGGCCTGGGCACACAGGGAATTCAGCTCCCCAGAGAGAGGTGAGCACCTCAAACCCCCATCCCTGGTTTAGCAGAGCCGGGCCTGGAGGCCTTAGGCTGGCACTAGGTCCCAGTGTGAGCCTGGCTCAGGAAAAGCCAGGGGACACTGTTCACACGGTGGCTGGGACACAGCAAGGGCTCGCTGACCTGCTGTGAGCCGGTGCCAGCACAGCCTCGGTGCCCACAGCAGCACATTGTCCCCAGGAATAAATGGCAACGTCCTGAAACACAAACGTAAAAGGACTCTCTGTCCCTGTCCATTACCGCTTTCCAGCAGGCGCCGCTCGGATGGATGTAATGGAATTATGGGGAGAAGAGAGTCTGGGAGGCAGTTTCTTATATCTCAGTGGCAAAGGTCAAGGCAATGGCTGCTGCAGAGTCATGATTACAGCTCAGGAGTACGGCTACTGTGGCCTGTGTGAGCCCTGCCACTTCAGAAAGCCTTGGCAATTCCCGGAGTTCCGAAGGATGCAGCACAGGGAGATGGCTTGGGAATGGTGTCGTGGACACGGGGTGTTTTGTGTGCCCTGTCACTGTGGCTGTGGGGGCCACGGCCAGCCGGGTGGATTGCAGCATCCTGAGCCCGGGAATGGGCTTTCCCGGGACGCCCTTGTTTTGCAGGAAGTGGCAGAGTCAGGGTGTCCCGTCCCCCCCAGCTCCCTCTGGAGTGGGAGAGGGGGAGAGCCTTGGGCAGGGTCTGAGGAAAGCACCGCTGCTCTCCCAGCGCTGACTGCGAGGTGCAGCCGAGGAGGGGTTGTTAAAAATGAAGCGTAAGGAAAAAAGAGGGTTAAATAGCTCTTAAATGTCTGCAGGGAATGTCGGGAGTGATGGATGTGGATGCATTCTTTTGTGCTCTAGGCAGGAAGTGTAAGCAAAATGTGGAAAAGCCCTGATGGTCTGCACGGGGCTGCCCCTCCAGGTTTCTATTCCCTGATGGGATGCTCTAAAATGGGTTGGGATTTGTCCAAAAGATCAGAAATTGGCTAAATCAGCAACGATGCTGCTTTTCCTGGCTCTGCTGGATTTCTCTGGGTGTTCCCCACATTCCTTGGGCTGTATCTGGCAAGAAACATCCCTGTTCCTGGGACAGGTGTAAGGGGGCAGCAAGAAGGGCCAAAAAAACAAAAAGAGAAACTGTGGCAGGGGGTTGGAACAAGATGCTCTTTAAGGTTCCTTCCAACCCAAACTGTTCTGGGATCCTGTGAAAATATCATCCATGTCCTGAGTGTCATTTTTCCAACCCCACATGGAGTTTTGTGCTCCTGGTGGGTTGGGCCCTTGTGTAATGAGGGCCACTGCAGGAACGAGCTGCTGAGGATGTGTCAAGGTCAGCAATTAGCAGGGAAGGGGGTTAATGAGCAGGTTGTCTGGGTGGAAGCATGAGGAAGAAGGTAGAGCCTTGTAATCTAACAGAGAGGAGACTCTGGGATCCTTGGATAGTTAGAGAATGGGTTTATTTTTTTTTTTTTTTTAAATTTCCAAACAATTAGTTTTGGTTTTTATGACCAGTGCTGGGGTTGCACCCTGGTTTTGGGAGGCAGCTCCGAGGGGATGTGTTGCTCCATGGAGGTGTGTTGGGAGCCATGCACTGTTCTCCAGTGACTCCTCGGGAGCAAAGGAAGCCCTGGAGCTCATCCCATGTCACTGTGTCGGGGTTTGACCTGTTCCCTGAACTGCAGACTCATCTCTTGTGATCCCGTGACAAAGGTGTTGCTGCTGGAGCGTGAGCTGGAAGGTGATGTCATGGGAGGGGAAAAATCCAAAGGTTGTGGAGGGCAGAGGAGCGTGGGCGCTGCTGTGGGCAGCGGAGGGTGTCGGGCTTCCTTGTCAGTCAGCCAGTGGGGCTGGCATTTCTCTGGGAGCACGGGGATATGGGGCATGATCTAGGGCTGACCCCCTTGGGTGGGTCTGTCTCCCATGGAAGGGAAGGTGCTCCCTGCTGCTGTTCCACCTGGGTGCCTGTGCCAAAGCCTTCCGGGCACATCCAGGCGTGGTGGCGTGTGGTGCTGAGAACAGGCTTACCCCGAGCCCTCCCATGCCCAATTAACACTTGGAAATGTCCCAAGAAAAGTCAGGAAGCGTCCCTGGGCTCTGGCAGCCTGCAGGATTTGGGGAGAGGTGTGGGAAGCCCGGAGGAGCTGTGGATGCCCCTCTGGCTTTGAAGGTACACCAGTGGAGTTTAATGATTTGAAATCCTGGTGTAAATCATTGTCAGGGCAGGGCACGGGAGTGTGGGGGACAAGGTGGAGGGGGTCTGGCTGCAGGGAGGATCCCATGCTGTGGGCAGAGGGAAAGGGAATGGGGCTGGAGGGGGCTGGAGCACTCAGGCACTGCTTGCCCACCTGCTGGGGACAAACTTTTCAGCAGGGCCTGTTGTGAAAGGACAAGGGGAGATGGTTTTAAAGTAAAAGAGGGTTGATTTAGTTTGGATATTACGAAGAAATTCTTCCCTGTGAGAGTGGGGAGGCCCTGGCACAGGTTGCCCAGAGAAGCTGTGGCTGCCTCATCCCTGGAAGTGTCCAAGGCCAGGTTGGACGGGGCTTGGAGCAACCTGGGCTAGTGGAAGGTGTCCCTGCCCATGGCAGGGGGTGGAACTGGATGAGCTTTAAAGTTCCTTCCCACCCAAACCATTCTGTGACTGAGGGATGAGCATCCAGACAGCTCTGGGGATGCTGGACCTGAGACAGAGGCAGCAGTAGCTCCCTTCTCCAGCTGTGATGTCAGGGCATCAGGATAGCTGTTGGATCAGAGATAGAAGCAGCTCTGGAAAGCCAGGAGAGCAGCTAATTCAATGGAGATACAGACTGGAATAGCAAGTCTTCTGTTTTAATCTGATTGCTGGGCTGCAGGGTAGCACTGTGAGGCATCTGTGGAAAACTTCCAGGCACAGAGGTGACGTAGGAGCTGAAATCCTGCCACTTCCAGGACTGAGGTGCCTGAGGGAAGCCGCAGAGATTGTGAACAGGCACAGAGGTTTAGACACCATGGGTAAATGCAAGCAGCCCTGTGTGTGTTCTCTGCCCACTGTGGGTGCAACAAAATTTTCCTGCCCCAAGGCCATCCCAGCAGTTCTCAAGTGAACTCCTGGCTGGCCAATGTGTTTGTGATGAGGATGGGAGCTCGTTTGGATCCACAGGTAAGGAGAAAAGCCCACAGGGCACAAATGGAGAATGAAACCTTTGTGTGGGAGGGCAGAGGCCAGTGCTGGGACCACCAGTCACAGTGTAAGGGCTTGGGTGGGAGGATGGCTCTTGGAATGCTGGTGAGGACATTTCAGATGCAGAGTTTTCCACATCTTCAACAGGTGTTCACTGGGGTGGAATTAAAGCTGGGATCAGGGGATGCCCTCCCCGAGGAGCACACAGGGCAGCAGCCTGGTGCTGGGGCTGGGCACAGTGCTGAGCTGTGCCATGGGGAACAACGGGCTTGCCCCATCCTGCCTCCCAGCAACTCCCTTTGGGCAGAGCTCAGCAGCTCATGTGTGTCCCATAACCCAGGACAAACCACAGGAGCCAAGACTCTGCCCTGCCTGGACCCACACGGGTCTGGGGATGTGTCCAAAGGGGCTGGGACACCCCTGTGGGAGTATCCCCAGCCATGCTGGGCACCAGCAGTGAGCAGGGAAGTTTCTCTGCAGATTCCTCCTCTCCGGGCTTGTGTGCATGTCTTTTCCTGCTGGAGCTGGTCTGTTTTCTGGGAGTGCTGCTCTATTCTGGCCCTTGACCCTGCAAACTGGGCGTGCACTCAAGCTAAACAAGCAAATATGCAGCTTTTGAGCCGGAGGGTTGAGCTGGAGGGTGTGTAGGTGATGTGGATACAGCACCTACAGCAGCACAGCCCAGGGTGACCTCGAGCCCAAACCAGCGTCCAGAAGCCAGGGAGTGAAGGAGGGATCCCTGGCATGGTCTTGGCACATCCATAAAGCTGCGAGGCTTTATGTGGATGTTCTGCTGTGAGGGTCACAGCACCCGAGGTCAGGGAAGTGAGTGGGCCGGAGATGTGGCTCCATGAGTTTATATTTAGAAAACGAGCACGTCTGGTCCTGGCAACTCAGAAAACATCCAGTGGAGGCAGTGGAGGGGGAGTTCCCACCCGTGGCTGGCTGGTCGGGAATGCCAGTGCTCAGACATTCCCATGGGATGCAGCCAGGGCACTCACCACCCGTGTGTGTGTTGCTGCAGGGAGGGTGAGCACCGACCTGAAGTGAGCTCAGGGCCCTACAGGGCTTCACCATCCCGGCAGCCGTTGCTGGCAGCAGCTGGGGGAAGCCACAGGGTCGGGTTGGCTGGGAGAGAGGCAGTTCTGGTTTCTGTTCTCCGGGAAGGAAGGCATCGCAGGGCAGGCAGCCAGCGCCGTGAGCAGCCCTGCTCCATCCCAGTTGTAGGGAAAGGGAGAAGCTGTTCAGCTAGAGATGTGTTTCTCAGCGTTTCCAGGTTGGTTTGCATTGACAAGGGCTGTTGAAGTTGATTTGGGTGGCCTTTTTTGGTGCTGTGAAGACTTCAGTTATCACACTCCTAAGGACGGGCAATCTAAGCCCTTAGCAAGCATCAGTAATTTGATTGTTTCCAAAGGTTGGTGATTATCACGGCTGAGAAAGTAGCAAAGGGCGGGGATGGGAATGGCCAGCAAGGATCCAGCTGCCTTGTTATATCCCAACGTGCTCTCCACAGGCAGGGCAGGGTGAGATTTCCAGTGTTACATAAATGAAACAATATCATCGTGGCTACTATGACTGCACAGACTTTGCATTTTGCCATGGACTAACCATCACTTTCCTTCTCTTCCCAGAGCTCATATCCTGCCCGGGGAGGGCATGTTAGCAGGGCTGCAGCCCCCCTGCCCCGAGCCATGCTGTGAGGAGGGGACAGCCCGGCCATCCAGCAGCAGGAATGATGGCCCAGTCCCGGGCCAACGGCTCACACTACGCCCTGACAGCCATCGGGCTGGGGATGCTCGTCCTCGGCATCATCATGGCTGTCTGGAACCTCGTCCCGGGCTTCGGCCCCCCCGAAAAACCTGCCACCCACGCCGGGAACAGCAGCAAACCCGACCGTGGCTCCAGGGGCATCTTGAAGAGCAAGACCTTCTCGGTGGCCTACGTGTTGGTGGGAGCAGGGCTGCTCCTGCTCCTGGTCTCCCTCTGCCTCAACGTCCGGGACAAGAAGAGGCAGAGCGAGGAAATCGCCATCGCCCACGTGCAGCGCCACGTGTCTGTGGAGCCCTCGCAGCAGGAGGACAGGTGAGGTGTTCCAGGGAGAAAGGGAGCGGGAGCGGGGGTAGGAATGACACCAGGGGCTGTTGTTGCAGCTCAGTGAGGTCTGGATCAAGGAGAGGAAGGCTGGTGGCAGCGTGTGCTGAAATAAGCAAGCACATGTCGTGGTTTGGGGTTCTGCTGTGTCCTGGAGATGGGAAAGGAATGACTCCAGCTGTATTTATGGAGCTGTGTAGGTGGAAGGGAGCCTTGTTGGTGTATAAAATGGGGTCTAGACAGAGCTGTGGCCAAGCCAGCGTTGCTGAGATGTGTCACTCCTGGCTGGGTTGGCACATGGGAGTGTGCTGAGAGGGAACACGGTGGGAGGGTGATGGGTGACACAGAGAGCAGGCTGGGAGAGGAGCCGGAGGTGCAGCAGAGGTGCTGTCTCACTGGGTGCAGCCGATGTGCCCAGCAGCCTTGGAGGCTGGCCATGGAGTTTAGACCTGGTGAAAGTCTGCAGGGCTCTGCTGTTTGCTCAGGGATCTGCATGGAGCAGAGCAAAGGCTGCTGCTGCAGGGACAGGCTGGACAAACACGGGTGCAGTTCCCTGTGCAGAGGGAGGCAGGGAGGTGTTGGGACAATATGGGATACAAGGGGGCAGGAGAGGATGATGGCTCTGCTGGCTGTTGTCAGGGTCTGCAGATCCACCCAGAAAACCAATTTTCCCTATTAGATTGAAAAGATAACTTCACAATGCCAAAGAAATGGCAAATGTTGATGTGCAAACCTGTGCATAGACAGTGACATAGTGCAGGGCTAAATCTCTTTGCAGAATCTCTTTGCCTCAAGGTACCCAACCCAAAAGACATCAGAACAACGAAGGAAGATAGGTGATGTCCCTTTCAAATGTATTTTGACTGATTTTTGAGAGAGGAGGAGAGAAATTGGTATTCTTTTGAAGGAATAATTCACTGCTAGGCAATAGAAAAGGGGTTTGTGGGCAGAGATCAAAGATGAGCATATGACATAAGGAAACAAAATGTGTCTGAACATAAGTGGGGTCATGGTTTTTTCTGTCAAGCAAAAAGGGGCCGGTATATAATGCAGAAGGGCAAATAATTAGTTAAGCCTTTGAGGGTGGGGTGGTTTTATTCTTTCCTCTCCATCCCCTACCCACAGCAAAGCTGAAATGATGTTGTGCCCACAGCCTTAACTCTCTCCCCTCCAGTCAAGAAGAGGATGAAGACGTGTCTTCCCAGTACTACGTCCCCAGCTACGAGGAGGTGATGAACACGGGCTACTCGGAGCCCAGAGACTCGGACAGGAGCAACAGGCTGAGCGTCTCCCTGCCCTCCTACGAGTCTCTGACGGGGCTGGATGAGAGCAGCCAGGCTCCAGGAGCTGCAGGCACGGAGCCAGGCACGGAGAGACAGCCCAGCCGGCACAGCTCCCGCCTCAGCAAGCGCCTGAAGCCGCTGAAGGTCCGGAGGATCAAGTCAGAGAAGCTGCACCTGAAGGACATCAGGCTAAACCTGGACCAGGGGAACAGCACCGTCCCTGTCACGATAGAGCCCCTCACCCCTCCGCCCAAGTACGAGGAGATCCAGGAGAAAGCGCCGGTGAGCCAGCAAATGCCTTAAATGAAAAAAAAAAAGGAGGGATCTGTGATGCTGCTGGGTTGAGGGTTTTTATAAACCCACCGGGCCAAGAGGGGCTTGGTCTGTGGGTGCAGAAGCAGCCAGGGCTCCCTGGAAGCTGCCACGTGGAGGATGTGATGGGTGTGGTAGCACTGCAGCACAAGGATGGGACACTTTTTCCCTGGGACTGGGTTTTACAAAAGACTGTGGGGAAAGAAGCCTGAATGCCACAGGTTCTGCTGCTCTGAAGTAAATGAAGGCTGGATGTACCAAAAGTGTCACTTATTGTGTTTGATATAAGACCACCCAATGCATCCTCTCACCTCCTCTGCCTCTCACCTCCAGCAAGACTTTTCCAAGCCACCAAACTGATGCTGAAGAAGGATTTTTCCAAGTGGAAAAGCGAAATGTTCCTTTTTTTGGGGGTGTCTTTTCTTTCTGAGGAAGGGAAAGCGCGTTGCCAGAGCAGCACCACGGCTTTCCCCCCCTCCCAGCTGGGTTGGGCTGGTGGCCCAGGGCCAGCCCTGACTCCTGCCAAGGTCTCTGCTGGCTGGTGGGAAGCAGCTGAAAGGGGCCCCGTGCTCCTCGGGTAGAGGATGGATTTCCTGCCTCAGTTGCTTTCCCTGTTGTGTTTTGTGCTCCATTCGAGGGGAGTGGGTGACTCGGGGGGGTTTGGGAGCTGCACCAGTGCCAGGGGTGCAGGGTGAAACCACTGCTGGGCATCCTGTGCGGGCAGACTGGGGCTGAATAAATGTTTTGTACGTTGTGTTTGTGTGTGTGTGCACTCGTGGGTGGTTGGTCCTTCCCAAGGTTTATAATCCGTCGGCTGTTGTAAGGGAGATGCTCCATAGGCATCCCAGCTCCATGGGCATCCCAGCTCCATGGGCATCCCAGCTCCATAGGCATCCCAGCTCCATGGGCATCCCAGCTCCATGGGCATCCCAACTCCATGCTGGCAAAGCCACTGGCCCCAAAGTCATCAACACATCCATCCACAGGCTCCCTTGGATGGTCTGAGAGGGATGTGGAGGTGGCTTTGTTGGTGTGATGCTGATATTGATGTTATCATAGAACAATAGAACCACTTAGGTTGGAAAAGATCTCCCAAGAACATCAACCGTTAACCCAGCGCTGCCAAGTCCACCACTAAACCATGTCCATGTTATGGACTGGTCAGCAGAGGTTGACTTGATGCTGTGGTTGATATGAGAGGAGTCCAAGTGACCAAAATGAAGGCAAAGATATGCTGGTCCAAATCCATCCAACAGATGGATTATTGTTAATGGTTATTTCCCATTGCATCTCTCAGTTTCTGTTGTTGCATCACAGGAGTTTCACTTTGCTGTGCCCCGAGGCACCTTCTCAGATGGGCAAAATAACCTCATTAACTAAGGGACTCTCTTACTGAAGAGAAGGAGACAAAGCAGAATATACCCCAGATAGAGGGATGTGGGGTGGGGGGTCCCGTGTGGGTGTTGCTGAGGGGATGTAAAGGTGGTGCAGCTCCTTGGAGGTTGTGTCCCAGGCATGTGTGCCCCTGAGAACCCACTGGGAATGAAGTCCTCTCCCTTTAGTGAAGAAATACAGCCCTAACAGTTGTCCTAGAAAATCTGGGCGAATAAAGTGAAGTTTCTTGTCTGAGCAGTTGGAAGGTGAAGTTTTATTGAGCTTCTTTGCCAGAAAATCCCATTTGATGAAATAGACTGGCAAAAACATCATCTTTCCCAGTGTCCCATGTAGGAAAAGAGCTGAAAGACTGCCATGAAGTGCAGTGACTGCAGTGACATGAGCTGTGACTCATGCAGAAGTTATACCAAAAATGCCCAAATGGCTAATGAGCATCTCTGGCTACTTTCCTGCTTGTCCTTCGATGGTATTTGGGAAGCAAAGGGAGATGTGGGATGCTGAGAAGTGCAGGAGCCATGACCATCATTATCCTAGGATGGCTTATCCCTGAGGCACTGTAAGGGAATGGTTATTCCTGAAGGTGAGGGTGATGGAGAAGAGGGTGGAGAGAGCACAGCTGTCTCTTCCACACACACCTAACAGCAAATTCATCTTACCCCAACCTCAGGCTGGTTGTCCAAGGTGGACCACACTAGTAGGTGAGAAATCAGGATGTGTTTAACATTGCACTTGTGTCTCAGCGTCTCCAGAAGGTAACTCACATTCCAGGACAACTTGTGAGTTCAGCCTGGAGAAGAGAAGGCTCCAGGGAGACCTTAGAGCACCTTGCAGTACCTAATGGGAGCTCCAAGAGAGCTGCAGAGGGACTTTGGACAAGGGCCTGGAGTGACAGGACGAAAGGGAATGGCTTCAAACTGACAGAGGTTTGCAGAGCTCTTCTTTGCAAAATCTTCCACTTCTTCCTCAAAATTAACGAGATGATTAATTAATTAAATTAATTTTTTTTTTTATTAATATGATAGAATCTTGCAGGACTGGAGAGGCCAAACTGGGGGGTGTTAGTGGCAAAGGTGGGGGGGTTTCCCTTTGTCTGCTGAAAAAGAGTTCCTGACAGCCTGGGACCAAGGAATATGGATGGAGAAGCACTGATGGGTGAGAGCGTCCCCATCACCTGGCAGCAACATTTATCCCCTTGCCCGTGGTTGCAAAACGTGTTTGTGTGTGTGTGTGTGTGTGTGTGTGTGTGCATGATATTAAATAAAAAAAACAAGTCAAATGGGGACTCAAAGGTTCTTTGGCAGCCCTGGCAGGTGGCAGTGAGGTTTGTGATGCACATTCCCACGTGTGTCACCAGCTGGCACCGAGAGCTGCGGCCGCGCCGGCGCGGAGCTCTGTTGTGCTGCCAGGCCAGTTGCTTGGAAAAAGGAGAAGGAGGAAAAAAAAACAACTAAACAAAACAAAGGGGAAAAACTCACCCAGACAGGCAGCAGCGGGCCCCAGCGTGGCTGAGGTTTCCAAGGCTACTGCCAGGCTGCAGCGGCACTGCTGGCTGGGACAGAGCCGCTTTTGGGGTCATTTCGCACAGTTTTTAGTGTTTGAGTTGTTGGGGCCGCTCGTGGCTCAGGTTGGGTGTTGGGTGGGGGGGTTGCTGAGTGAGGAGTTGGGATTTTTTGGGGAAGCCTTGCAGGTTTGGGGGTTGGGCAATGAGAGCCTTTCTAAAGAGCTCGGAGGGGTGTTTCCAGCTGAAACCCCACACCACGACCATCGGGAGCCACAGAGGGGCCGACATCGTCCTGCAGGTAGGGGCGGGGCAGCTGATCATCCTAAAGCAGAGGGTGGTTTGGATGCAGGGAGGAGGGCTTGCTGGAGTCCTCCATGCAAAGTGTGGTGGGATTTATGACCAGAAAGGGGGCTTGGCAAAGCGGGGACAAACCTGGAGCCACCTCCAGCAGCGTTCCCTGCCTGCCCATTGCCCGCTCCCAGTCCGCAGGCGTAGCAGATCGTCACGCGGCCCTGGAGTTCTCCGCCTCGGACAACAGCTTCATCCTTCAGGACTTCAACTCCCCCCACGGCACCTTTGTCAACAGCTGCCAGGTCCAGAATGCGGCCGTGGGGGTGAGGCCAGGGGACATCCTGCGCTTCGGCACCGCGGGAGCGGCCTTCGAGCTGGTGCTGGATGGGGCTGCCCAGGTGAGGCTGGGTGGGGCTGCCCTGGGAAGGGTGCCCAGGGAGGGTTGGGGTGCTTGCTGATCCCAGGGAAGGGTGCCCAGGGAGGGATGGGGTGCTTGCTGATCCCTGGGAAGGGTGCCCAGGGAGGGATGGGGTGCTTGCTGATCCCAGGGAAGGGTGGGTGGGTTCTACTGCCCGAGGAAAGGTGCCCAGGAAAGGATGGGGTTCTCCTGCCCTGGGAAGGATGGGGTGCTTGCTGATCCCAGGGAAGAGTGCCCATGGAAGGGTGGGTGAGTTGTTCCGCCCAGGGAAAGGTGCCCAGGGAAGACTGGGTGGATCTGCCCAGGGAAGGGTATCTTGAGGAAGGATGGTGTGCTCATCCCAGGGAAAAGTACCCAGGGAAAGGCGTGTGGGTTTTACTGCCCAAGGAAAGGTGCCCAGGGAAGGGTGGATGCTGTTGGCCCTGGAAGGATGCCCAGGGAAGCGTGGATGGGGATGTCCAGGGAAAGTTGCCAAGGAAAGGTGGGTGGGTGCTGCTGCCCAGGGAAGGCTCCGGGAGCAGGAACAGGTTCCCAGGTCTGGGCAATCCTGAGGAAAGGCGAGGGGGGGAAATGAAAAGCTGGAGCTCCCTCTGCTGAAGAAACTCTGGCGGTTCGGCAGGGAAACGGAAAATGACGGGACAACGGTGCGTGAGAGAAGGTAGATCTGGAAAACGTGCTTTTCCTCTATTTGCGTTTTATGATTCCTCCCAAGCCACTTAGTGGGAGGGAAGTTGGGTTTTACATCAAACCTACAGCAACTGATAAGTTCCAGTATCATTTTTATTACTGTGGCTCTTGAAGAATCCAAGATGCTGGTAAGGTAATGCCAGACCCTGCTGGAGCAGTGAGCAGCTGAATTCCCAAAGGCAGGGTGCACACAGAGAAGCAGGTTTGCACAGCGATGCAGAGGATGCCTGTGGGGTGCCTATTCCTTACTCTGGGCTCTCTGATCCTCCTGTGGAGGAGCAGCTTTGAAGCCTGACCCTGCTGACGGCAGGGAAGGAACCACCTCGGAGTTGCACCCTGTGAGGTGTCTAACAGAGGGAGAGATCACTCCTCTTAGAGTCTTAGAGGAACATGTTGTACAGAGGAGCAGCACCCGGCTGGGAATCACATCCCGCCGTGCCTCCAAGCGCAGGATAAGGGCCAAGACAGGGACAGTGGAAGGCTTTGGTGGAATCCCACTGTGAGCAAGAGCCATGGGTAGCAGCGTGAGCAAAAGCAACAGGGCTTGGATGTGCTCCAGGAGAAGGGAAAGTGCTGGAGTGGCAGGGAGCATTCCCTGGGGGTTTGGGCTCTGTTAACACCCAGATGTTGGAGGGCTCACATCCAGGCCAGGTCCGACGCTGTGCTGGAAGATGTTTAGTGCAAACCTTGACAGTGGCTTGTCCTCATCGTACTGGAAAGCTCAGGAGAACAGCAGTGTCCTAAATCTGGGTCTGACGTGCCCAGCATAAGGTCTGGTAAATGTGATGGGAAGGCAGGAGCACAACGAGAGGCTTTGGTTCAGTGGGGTGAATGGCAGAAACGATGAGGTAGGACCATGTGTGAGCCAGGAGAGCTGTGAGAGGAGCACCTCTAGATCGTGCAAATGATGTGCAGAATTAGGGCAGAGATGGAGAGGGAAAAGCTCAAAAAGCAGCAAACCTCAGTGATTTCCTTCTGCTTCAGCAAAGAGCCTGAATGCCCTGATTAAAATCTGATCCTTGGGCAATGGAAATGGGGAGGGACTAAAACCACGCTTCCACTGAGATCTGTGCCTGGGTTTTTTATGGCATGGGGCACATGAATCCAGGGCTAAAATCCTTGCTGATAACAAGGTCTTTTCCCATCGTAGGTGTCCTGTCCCCCCTTGAAACGTCGCACAGGGTGGGCGGGGCAGCTCCAGGTGGTTGCAGAGCCCAAACCCTCGGCTCCCGTGTCTCCCCCCCGCCTGCCCTCACTGCAGTGGCAGCATCCCCCTGGCTCTCCAGGCAGTGGCACTCCTGGAGCCCTCGGCCACCAGCCCCATCCTCCTCTGCCGAGGAGACCCCTGAGCGCCTGGGACAGGAGCGTGGCCAGCACTGCCTCTCTGGACACCTTCAGCCGGAGCTCTGCGGTGAGGCCAGGTAATCCATGATCCCAAACCCAAACATCTGTGCCCTGGTGTCCTCACAGAGCAACTTGGTGCTGAGTGGAGTTAAATGGAGTGGGGAAGTGATGAGTGTTGAGCAACCAGCTGTGAGTCCATGTCCAGTGGAGCTAATCAGAGACTGTGTGTGGTCCTGGGTGGCATTTGGGTCAGGGAAGAAATGAGCTGTGACACCCCAAAGGGAGCGCTGTTGCCTCTGCAGAGGGATGTTTCCTCTTCCTTTTTCCTGGTATGTGACCCAGAAGGGTGATGACTGATTTTATCTGCACCAGTGACTCATGTACCTATTCCTGACTCCTGTTTGAAGTGGTGTTTTTTTTCCTCCTTTGAAGTGGCTGCCTCAAGTGCAGGAACTTTAAAGTATATCCGTAGCTGATACACCTCTGGAAATAAAGTATGTGATAAGCAACAAAGCAAAGGTGAGGGTTTGGGGGAATAGAATAGCTGGAGAACATGACTTTTGCCGTTAATGCTGTGGCCTGATGCACCATGCTGTGGTTTTCCTGTTTGGGGTTGGGTTTTTTGAAGTCATAAGCAACACAAAGTCAAGAGTAGGGTTTAAACGTGCAAAGCAGGGGCAGCACCTTGCAGTCCCAGCAGTGGCTGAACTGGAAACCACAGAGAGGGCAAAGGGAGGGACACATATGCCCCAGGTTGGCACATATCCCTCTGCTTTTTGGGGAGCAGAGCCAAAAGGATCCCCTTTTGTGCAAAAATGCACAGCTTTCTGTGGGGCTGAGCAGTGCTGGAAAATTAGAGGAGCTTTTCTCTGCTGTGTCTCTGCTGCTCTGAGGCTTTTCTGGTTCCCATAGGTGAATTATTCCTCTCTGTTGTGCAGACTGTGCTGTAAGTGTCATTTTAGTGCCAAATAGGTGGTTTCCCTGCTGGTTGTGAACCAAGCTCATGCCTTGAACAGTGGCCACTGCCTTGGAGTAGTTTTGGGACAAAGAATGCGGCAGGGAGCATTTCTGCTGCCTGCAACCACCTCTCGTGCTGATATTTACTGCTGCTGTTTTTGCTTTCTTCCAGTCTCAACCAGCTTCTCAGGTGATTGTGCAAGCAGTGTGGGGGGAGCCCCTTCCCTGGGGACTCACAACACGGATCTCCTCCAGCAGGAGAAGGTGATGCTGGGGAGAGAGTGAGGAATGCCATCCCTGTCCTGGTCCTTGGCAGAGCAGGAGAACCCTGCCAGCTGGCTGTGTGTCCCACCAGGAGTCCCAGCAGGGTGTGGGGACTGCCTCCCGAGGGGTCTGCTCAGAGGATGGGGACAGTGGGTGGCTGGAGGATGTGGGAGGCCGGGTGAGCACGGCACTGATGGCCATGGGCGGGTACCCCTGGGCCAGGAGTATCTGCAGACTGGCCAATGGCACCTGCAATCTGCCCTCAGAAGCTGCTGCAGCTGGAGAAGGAAATGGGTCACCTCTCTGGTTTGGAAACGGAGTCAAAGCGCAAAGACGTGGTGATAAGAGATCTGCAGGAGGAGGTCGCGGCCATGGCAAAGAAACTGGCCCAGGCGGCGGCGAGGAACGAGGTTGAACTGACCCAGAAACTGCTGGCCTTCAATCAAGAGCTGGGAGCCAAAACAGAGGAGATCAAAGCCCTGAGGGAACAGGTACCGGATACTTCCATAGGCACCTCTCTGATACAAGTTTGTAATGTAACAAAGGTTTGGGGAAAAGCAGGTCCCATGTCTGAAACCAAGGGAAATGAGGGAGGTGGGTTTTTTTCCTTCTTTCCCTTCTTTTTTTCTTTCTTCCTTTTTTCCTTCCTTCCTTCTCCATGCCTCTGGCATTAGGATTTCATCAGGAACAGCCAAAGCACATTTAAGGTGATTCTATTTGAAGCAATGACTCCCGAGAGTTAGTCAAAGATGCTAAAGAGCAATCCCATCAAACCAGGACCTGGATGTGCCAGGTTTCCCTCTCTGGAGGGGAATCAGTGAGTGACTGGGTGAGGAACACAGTGAATCTGTGTTTTGCAGATCAGTGACCTGCAGAAAGGCTCGAGCCAGGTTTTCAGCCATTCCCTCTATGAAAGAGACCTGGAGATCGGGAGGCTCCGGAGAGAAAGCGAGAAGTTGAAGAAGGACCAGGCTTTGAGTGCAGGTGCTGTGTCCCTGGAGCTCTGGGTCAGGGCATGAAGCAGTTTAGGACTGGCTCTGGATTAAAGCAAGCATTGGCCAAGCTGTCCAGGCAACAACTGATTTGTAGTGGTTTGTAGAAATCAGAGAATCCTGGAATAGTTTGGGTTGGAAGGGACCTTAAAGAACATCTTGTTCCAACACCCTGGCATAGAGAGGGACACCTTCCACTAGCCCAGGTTGCTCCAAGCACTGTCCCACCTGGCCTTGGACACTTCCAGGGATGGAGCAGCTACAGCTTCTCTGGGCACCCTGTGCCAGGGCCTCCCCACCCTCACAGGGAAGAATTCCTTCCCAGTATTTCATCTGAATGTTGCACTTGTGTAACCTCTCACCAGAGTTGTTTTTCCCAGGTCTGGTGAGCAGCCTGCAAAGGGAGGTCCTGCAAAAGGAGCAGAAAATTCAGCAGCTCCAGCAAGAGATTGAAAAACTGAAGAAGGAAAATGGAGAGAAGGACAACCAGCTGGCAGTTGTTTCTGCCAAGGTTGGCAGGACCAACGAGGGCATCAGTAATTTATGGTCTCACACAGGGGTTAAGGTGGGAAAGCAGGTGGAGAAGAGTTGTGCTTCTCCCTTGTGAGGATTGTAGCAGCTGTATGTGGGTGGCTGTTTGTTGGGGAGTCCCGAGGTGAATCCTGGCTGCACACAAACAGGAGTCATGCAACTGTACCACTGGGATGTGGTGGTGATGGTCCCATGGTCACACCAGGGTGTCCTGTGATGGCCACGGATCAGGGTCCCCTTCCCCAGCTCCATCTCCCTCCTCACTCAGCATCACTGTGCCCTGGATTCCTGTGAGCACAGGAGCTGTTTGTTCACACAAAGCTCTCATGCCAAGATCCTCCCGAGGAGCCATGGAAACCCCATCACTGGGGGTGGGGCTCCCTGTGGCCTGGGCCGGGATTTTCCCTTAAAGAAAGTGGCTTGTGCAGCAGGTTGTCTCTCTGTATGTGCAGCTCCTCCTCAGCTGGCAGAGCTGCATCAGCAGTGTGATAAGGGGCAGAGGCTGCACAGGCTCTATGGGATTGCCAGGGATTGCCTAGGAATCACAGAATTGCTGAGCTTGGAAATAACCTCTGAGATCATTGAGTGCAACCATTCCCCTGGCACTGCCAAGGCCACCACTAACCCACGTCCCCACGTGCCACATCTACACCTCTTGTAAATCCCTCCAGGGATGGCAACTCCACCACTGCCCTGGGCAGCCTGTGCCAGTGTTCCATTCACAGCAGGAGTGATGGTGTCACTGCCCTGATGGATATTTTCCTTGGTTGCCATTCCTTCTAGTGCTCGAGAATAAAAGAGGAAACGAAGCGTGACCTTGGAGAGCAAGAAATAATCAGCTGTCGAAATGTGAGTTGAAACTGTTTTGGGGTGATGGAGCACAGGGCTAAGCAGTGGCTGCAGGAATGCATCAGCCAGGGAATAATTAACTGGGCATTGTAAGGGAGTTGTTTGGAATTCAACTCCTGCACTGGAAGGCACATAATGGGACTAACCACCCAGGGAAGTGTAAACTTGGTTGGATTTGTGATGCTGTGTTACAATGCAGGGGGGATGTGACCAGAAATCAGGTTGGAATTCTACTGGTAAGCTGATAAAACCACAGTAAATATGGGTTAGAAGGGAATTCCAGGGTAAGCAAAGTGGGTTAGATGGGGAAAACATCTTGCTTATGAGTGGAAGTTTTCCAGAGAGGCAATGCCCAGTTCCTCTGGTGAGACCCCTGCCCTCCCTGGGCTTTTGCAGCACATTGGGGAGCTGGAACGGGACCTGGAGGGGCTGCAGATGGAAATCCAGAAGCATTGTGCCAAGCAGGATAGCGTCCAAAATCAGCTGGCTGAGAAAGCCAAGGTAAGTGGCCGGCTGAGGGGGCACACAGAGGGCAGGTGTGCCCTGGTGAGCTCATGGCAGGTCTCTCAGCTGCCTGACAGGGGTGAAAGGTGGGTGGGATGAAGACCAGCAAGTCCCAGGAGCAGGCTCCTGGGTCAGGAGTACAGGCAGGGGGTCCTGTACAGGCAGGAGAGCCAAATGTCCTGAGCTCTGCCGTGGACAATGAGAGAGGAAGAAATAATTCAGATAGCAGAGTGCCCTGTGTGGGTTTTGGGTGAGGAAATCAAGGATGGACAATGACCCAGGGACCAGACCCACGCAAAAAGTGCCATGAAAGCTCTGATGCTGCAATCCCACCCCGGCGACGGGATTGCTGCCTGTCTCCTGGTGTTCCAAAGCTACCTTTGGAGTTGTCCGATGGGAATAGTGGTAGCTGAGGTCGAAGTGCCCATGGCATGGTTTTCAGATGTCACTCTGAGGTGCCAATCATAGAATCATAGAATCAGCTGGGTTGGAAGGGACCTTCGACATCATGAAGTCCAACCCTTGATCCAACCCCGCCGTGGTTCCCAGCCCATGGCACTGATGCCACATCCAGTCTCTTTTTAAAAA